GGCAATGTATTTTTTTTTTTTTTTTGACTTCACATTGTGAAATAAATCACTTTACATTGTTTTCTAGTAGAAAAAAGGCAAAAAACTGTACAAAATCCTAGTGTTAACTACAATCAGTTTGTACCAATAAAAAAGCCCACAGGTTTGTCTCCAAAAGATTTTTTTTTTCTTTTTTTTTAGTTTTTTGCAACTTTATATAGAATTATTCACAAAAAGCAGGCAGATATTATTAGGAAGGCAGAGGTAACATTATGACGATGCATAAAATCACCACAGAACTTTGTTGTTTAAAAAGTAGTCAGAAGAAAGCCTTTTTTGGCATTTATAGTGATCCACAGAGGATACTTCTCACGTGTTTTTGTTTTTTTATTTCTTATTGTAAGCGCTTCACCGATGAGACAGGCTGCGAGGAAGAGAAGGAGTTATGCCCTTCTGTGTCGGCTTTATGAATTGTGTGCAGCCCTACACAGAGTTGTGTCAGACTGGACTGGTGCCAATTCCTGCCTCATAGAACTAAAAAAAAAGTAAACGCGAGAGCTCAAATTGAAGCTCAAGGGCACAAGCCAAAAATCGGGTTATACCCTGTGGACAAAAAGCACCGAATAGAGGCTGGTTGACCAAAGCACTGCTCCTCGTGAGCTGGGAGGACTTCACTATGCTTTGAGGATTGTGACAACACCTGGCTCAGGGCTGTAGCAGAAAACCACTGGCGTGGTCATTAGAAAACACACATGGGCTACATTTATAAAGTGTCTGAAAGCGATGTGCAATTGTCCTTGGCAACGATATTCCAAATGTTTTTAGCACATCTCTGAAAAGGGAACATCTGGATTTTACAGTGTGGTTTCTACACCTGCGTCCCCAGCTCACGCCAACCTCCAACATACTCCTATCATTCTTCTTTTAGCCGTCAGAGCATTTTCAGAGCAACATTTAACCTACTGAGGCAGCAAAAGTCAAAAGGTCTTTTGTGCAATGGGCAAGAGCTGGGAACGCTAGTGGGGGGTAACCTCACCTCAAGAAGCCAATGGGTGTTTCAGCCCACCAATGTCCAATCAAAACCATTATTTGGGTTTCATAATGGACAGACGCTTTAAACACCAGTGTGAATTAAGCCAGATTAAGCCAGATTAAGCCGGTCACATCACAACAGAGCTTTCCTTTATTTTTTTTATATCCCCTTTACTTCTCTTCAGGGGATAGTGGACTTCAGGTACGAAAAACTGGAGGACCTAATTAGATGTTCCCCACAACCAGCAAGATTCTTCCTGCTGTAGGCAACAGACCATTATGCCTCTACTGTTGGTACACAAGGCCTTTTTGTCGGGTTACAGCGCTTGCTAAATATACAACAGCCTGTACGTCAGGATCTTCTAAGGAAAACATTATACTGGGGGGCTTCAGGAAGACCTCTGAAGGTCACCCATTGGTTAATCATTATGGTGCCAACCAAAACATGCCATGCTGTTATACAGCACAGCTACCCTGCATGTCGGGGCAGGAATCTCCAGAGCAGCCTGAACACACAGCCCAGATACCTTATAACTGCACATCTAGTCAACACACACACACAAAAAATTAATTAAAAAGGACAACGCTAAACAGTTTTCTTTAAAATTATGTTTTACACCCCCCGCTTTGTTCTTTTTAACCTCTAAAACACAAAATCTATGGACTCAGCGACTGCCCCCCAAACAGGGACATACTGTGTGTATTAAACTGAGCATAGATGATTAACAGAAATGTACAGGACAAGGCAAAGTAGTTTTTTGTTTTTGGCACAGTTTAAAGAGAAATCAAAAGCGGTCACATTTTGCTATAGAGTCAGTAGAGCCTCCCCAAAAAGAAAGGAACTTTAGTAGGCAGATAGAAGCACAGGTTCCGGTATGAATGTAGGTGCTCTGTGAATGGGGCACAGAATACAAAGTTGCCACACTCCATATTGTAAAAAAAACAAAAAACTATATTTATATCTGTAAACAGCAAAATGTGACTCTTTTGGAGAGATTCCAATTAGTTACAAGGTTTTAGTTAAAAAATAAAATAACACAAAAGAAGCCCCCTAAGCTCAAGTAGAGAGGACATACAGATTGAAATTTTGGTTGGTACAAACAAACGGGGAAAAAAAAAAAGACGAATATTAAACAGTGTGCCAGTTAGACCTGCTCAAAAGATTATTAGGTACAAAGTCCCAAAATTAAGTGGTTATCTTATGAATTTCTAGAAAAATAGATTTATATATATTTTGTTTTCAATAATCAAATGCGAGTTGTTTTTTTTTTTTTTTTTTTTTAAATATTGTGTCCCTCTTCGCAGTCTTTGAAGCAAAGCCAATTTGGCAACACGCAAGAAAAAAAAAAAAAACATACAAAGAGAAAAAAGAAAAACACAACAACATGGTAAAATATACACAATAGCATCAAAAAAAAAAAAGATCAACACAAGTTCAGAGGTGAGAGTTCAAGCATCAAAGAAGCTGAAGAAACAAGGATTTGGACGATGTACTTGAACGCCACACCGACATGCTTTAGAGGCACAATGATGGACAAATGGCAGGAAGGGATCTAGAAAACAAAAACAAACCAGAGAAAACAGGGAGAAGCACTGAGTTACACAACGCAATACATCAAAATCACACAGAAAAAAATAAAATAATTAAAAAAAAGGACACAGCTAAACACAATGGTCTAGCTCAATACAGACATGCAGAGACACCGAAGACCAAGGTAACTAAGCTTGGTGGACCTTGGCATCTTGAAGGGAAACAACATGATGTCACACGCATGTACACACAACTGTGATAGGGTCTGGGAGGAACACAACACACCCGACAGACATAAATTAGAGACTAGAATCACCATGCAAAAGGGATCCCAATAGAAGAAGTTAGCCCAGCATCCCACACGGACACAAAAAGGACAGGAGCGGTGGTGTGAAGACCGACAAAAGCCCGAACCACTCCATGTAAACACTGGGTTGTTTTTTTTTTTTAATGATCACATTTACTAGCACCTCCGAAACAATGGTGGCATTTAGGCTCAATGAATGGCACAAACAGTTTCTGAAAGTTAACCGAGATGAAAAAAAAAAAGTAACCCCCCTTTTATAGAACCCATCTTCTTAGAAGTCCCATAAAATTCATCATTGACCAAGTCAAGGAGAGAAATTCCCATTTTCAACGTGTATTTGCTAATGCAAATGTTGGGTTGCAAACTTCTAAAACAGTCATTGTTTTGTTGCTCCAGCGGCAGGTTTAATTTGCTTCCAATCAAGCTGTTTTTTTGGAACAAGGTGCAGGATGTTCCCGAACAAGCATTTCCAGGATACAATGGACTGACCTGTACATTTCCTTACCAGTTTATGGTTGGCTGACTCAAGGTGGGCCAGTTCATGGTTGGCCAGTTTATGGCTGCTTGGCTCAGGGTGGGCCAGTTCATGGTTGGCCGACTCAGGGTGGGCCAGTTCATGGTTGGCCGACTCAAGGTGGGACAGTTCATGGTTGGCCGACTCAAGGTGGGACAGTTCATGGTTGGCAGACTCAAGGTGGGACAGTTCATGGTTGGCAGACTCAAGGTGGGACAGTTCATGGTTGGCAGACTCAAGGTGGGACAGTTCATGGTTGGCTGACTCAAGGTGGGACAGTTTATGGTTGGCTGAGCTTATTATTGGCTGGCTTACAGTTTATGATTGGCTGAGGCAGGTGCGCTGAGGCTCTTCAGTGGAAGCTTGTCTCGTGATAGACTGCACGCTTCAAAAGACAACTTTCCAGGAAGCAAGAGAAAGTTGCAAATGACTTGAAAAAGCAATTCACTTCTCTCTTCAGACTTCTTCTACATAACAGGCTTCCATAATTAATATAGCTTTCCACTTTAAAAACCACACTCTGAACTTCTGAGGTTAACAGGGGTTCACTAGTTTGTTGTAAGCAGATCTGAAAGCTGCAGTGAACACTTGCATGTTTGTAACGTCATGGGAATAAGTACATTCCAATCTTCCCCAGATATTTTATAGTCGTCAATGTCAATGGAGCCAGTACTGCAAATGGTAAAGTTCGGACACTACACTCTTCTTGGTTTTAGCAACTGGATAGTTGGTGAGAACCAGTAAAAAGTGAAACACTGGCAACACGTATTACAAAGGTCAATGCCTGCCCACTTTGGGTTTTTTTCTAGTTGTAAATCATTAAAAAAAAAGGGCCAAAATAATTTATTGCCATTTTCTAGAATTACCAACACTTTGTTAAGGGCACCGAGACAGCAAGGAATGTAAAATTGTAAACTAAAAACAGTAAAGTTATGGTTTACAACAACTGGGTCACCAACATGTGGATGGTATTCAGCTGTATGGGTTTATCTGCCTTCCTCACCTGTCTACACATCGGCACATTTAAACTGGGACACATCCACAAGGCAATCTACACCTCATGGCAGCACATATGTAAACACTACTGTAAAACATGAGGCTTCATCAGTAAACAATCACCAGCACAGAACATGCTGCATTTTCCATCAATAACTACATCAGAGAGGATAAATGCCTTTTTATACTGAAATGATCATTGAAACTATGAGCAAATCTTCCACAAATGACTCCTAGAACATAGGCATGCTTCCTCTCGAATCCCAGTGTTAAAACTATTCCGTGGGAACAAGTCCTTCCACTAGGGGATGGAAACATGAATTTACAAAGGGGTGACAGATACAAATCACACCGTCACCACCACCAGACTAAAAGGGGGTGATGCTGCAGCCATCAATAGGACCAGTCAAGCATCCCAAAGGGCTCTTTCACATCATAACGCATGTTATGACGCAGGTTGTAACACGTTGCCACAAACACATTCCAGATGTGCGTTACACTGTAATGCAAAGTTAGTTTAACCCCAATTAATATATCTACATGGCTCTGTATCTAACCTGGGCAACAGGGCACCTTTACGCACAGCGTTGTGTTGCCCTGTGCTGACAAATTAAAATGTGAGAGACATATCTTTCGTGAGTCGACAGCCTATTCACTTTGAACAGGCTGCCTAGCGCAATGCACCTCAACGCATGTGTCGCAAAACACTGTGCTATGGTATGAACAGGCCCTTACAGAGTAATGATGGCACTGCCTGTTTTACTCCTATGTAGAAAAGGAATACGGTCATGCATCTGAAGCAGGCAGTGTCCTAAATACAGAATGAACTGCCCATCACAGCTGCCGAACCGGGCTCACAAGTAGGGCTGCAGCTAACGATTATTTCCATAAGCGATTAGTTGCCCGAATTTTTTCCCGATGAATCGATTAGTTGTATTTAAAAAATCTTAGAATAGTTAACTATTCTCAATCGATTACACCGATTAGTTGTTGCAGCCCTACTCACAAGCGAGGATGGATGTGGACCCCATTACAGTACCCTCCACTCCCTCTAACCCTTCAAAAAAAATTCTGTTATAGAAGCAGAAGATCTGAAAAAGCAGAATTCAGTAGCCTGCAGTCAAGCCGTAAGTTGAGATGTGAAGAATTTCAATACTGACAAGTCAAAAAAAAGAGACTTCATTTTCACATTTATAACCCAGACTCTTCTGCTGGGCAGGATTTTTTTTTTCTGTCCATCCCCACACACTGTAAGATGCCTTATAAACATGACGCAGAGTTACTCTGTATAAAACATAAAATAAAATCACCGTCTTTCCAAATTCTACAAAATCTCTTCCCAGTGAAATAATTTAGGCAATAAATATTGCTCACTCATCCGAGCTGTATAAAACCTCTATAAAAATATAGAAATGTCATTCTAACAGGCTTGTTTTCCTTCAATCATCTTTTTTCAGTTTGATTATTTTTTTTATACACTTGTATAAAAGATCATATCAGGAGCCTGGAAGCCTCAATACGTTTCACATTATACCAAATCAAAAACTTTTGAAAACATTTTTTTTTTCTCTGAGTATACAATATTCAAGTTTTAGCAGTTCTTCAGCACGTATGTCACGATACATGTATGTAGGTATGCACAGAGTAGTACATACACACACAGGCACATGAAATACTCTATTCTACTACGCAACACCAGACACCAGTTTGTGAACTCTTGAAGAAAAAAAAATCGCCCTTTTTAATCCGACAATGCCATGCCCGCTTGCCATGTAAATTGGTACGTCAAGTTACCAGTAAACATTTTCCAAGTCTGGTCAGAGACCAGAATGATTGTTTTAGAAGCATTTTTTTTATATATAAAAAAAAAAGTACATATATTGTGCTTATGGTTGCCAGAATTGCTATTTAAAATTGAGCATCTACAGAATACAAATATTCTTACGTATACTTTGCCTGTTTGAAGTACCAACAGGTATACATCATAGATGTAATCATCATTTCATACTCAGCCTATCTCACCGCTGGAATACTGAACTGTACAGCCATTTCCCATACCAAACAAGACTGGGATTGCAGATAAAAGCTTACCTCTATCCACGTTGGGGTTCTGCTGTTAGATCCAAAAAAACAATACTGGTGGAAGGAGGTAAACATTCCCATGTACAAATATGATATTGCTATTACAATATATCGTGCAGCCGAGTGCTACCTAGGATCACCTACTGCCAGCAATTTTAGGCTGAGAAGGGACCAACATTAGAGGTGTTAAAGAGACCAGTAACAGGATGTAAGACAAGGATGGGCCATGCGCCTCTATCCAAAAGGTCTCTCTGTACGCTTCTGAAAACTTTATATAAATGAGCTATAGGTTACATTCAGTGAAATGTATGTAAACCAAAAAGACATGCGGGTTACCTGAGGCTTTAACTACCTTAAGGGCCTGCGTTGGAGGGCTTTGGGCTTGCCTCAATGGCATCAGTTTGAGATGCTTTTGTGTTTTTTAAGAATTCACTGAGATGTGCAATTGACCTGCAGTTGTCCTACTTTAAGTGGATTTTGCATTTCCATAAACTTGTATGAAAATGCAAAGCCCATCTGATGCAAACCAAAGCCCGTTGACACTGGCCATAAACCTCAGACAATCTACTATAAAAAGGAATTGAGGTATGTTGAATCAACCCATGAAGACCAAATTACAGAGACTAAGCAATGTTAAAATTCCTACTGCGTGGATAGGCTGGGGATAGAAAAAGGTGTGGTCCTAAATCATTTTAATGATGCAAAGTATAACAGCCAATCAGAAATCTCCTTCCAGTTGTCAGACCAAATTCCTGAAAGCCAAAGTCTGATCAGTCGCTGAAGGCTACCAAACATAAGTGCTCTTCAATACAACTGCATTCTGAATGTCTATTTTAAACAGCTAAAGGGGCAACCTTAATTGTGCTCTACATACAGTTTTTTTTTTTGGAGTGTCCAAATAAAAAGCAGGTAAAATAAATGAAGCAGGATGATGTAGCAAAACCCCAGCAAAAGAAGCTATTTCTGTATCACAAGACAGACCCGGGGAAGGGGGAGGTACATGAGCGGTTGACCCTCAACGGCCAAGGGTCAAGAGCGTGCATGCAGTTGAAACGCAGCGAAATGGCAAGTGGAGCATTGAGCAGACAGGCTGTATAATGCCAGAAAAGCAGGAGCTCTTCTCTCCTTTTTCAAGGCTTCTGGTGCTGGTACTGTCACACATTTGTACAAACACAGCAAAAGTCCAAACAATATTATAAAAAAAAAAATAATAATAATTACTGATATGGCACCTAAACTCCAAAACAAAAACACTTGAAACAAGTAGTACGAGCCGTTCTTCCATATGAAGCAAAATAAAAAGAAATCACAACAAAAACGTTGTACCCAGAGTCTTTTAGGAGGGAAAGAGGCTTCTGGCTTTTAGCACATGGAGATGCTTCGGGGCTGCTGACAGAAGACAGCAGAGTCTGTACGTTCTCACCAAGTGCTCTCCTCCAGCCATACATCCTGGTTTGGCCTTTCCATCCCACACTTACCAGAACATCCTTCTCGCTCACTTCCCAGGGCAGTACAGTTCAGTATGGTTTGCTGTCGTTCTTGGAGCGTTTAAGCTGGACTTTCAGGCGTTTCATTCCGATCTGAAAGCCGTTCATTGACTGGATAGCAGCCTGAGCGGAAACTGGATTGTCATAACTCACGAAACCTGCCAAACACAAGCGCGTCAGTTATTTTAAAGCCTAACACGCCTAAATGGCAACTTTCGGGCTTATCAAGTTCGGCAGTGCACAGACTATTGTGTAAAGTGCAGCAGCTCACTAGGATAACCTTTCCTTCAGTTTAGAAGAGTCGCATATAATGGCCGATTAATTGCTGTAAATTACTTTGGTTCACCTGATTATAAATAAGCCTGCACAGTTCATGTACTAAAACGAAAATGAGGTATTCAGCCACAGCCAGCAAGACTCCCTGCTTGGTTTGGGTGCCATGGGCAAAGCTTTACCGTTGGTCCAGTTTTTGTATGTACTCAATGAGTAAAACCAGTGTGTATGTAAAGTGAAGAGTATATACTGTAATGGTACACTCCAGTTAATCAAAAATAAGCCGTAAACAGCATGCAAAGGACACAGATCACACATCAAGCAGTCAAGGCATTGCTGTAGCGCACCAGTTCATCCCAATTACTTCTGTTAGCAATTTGGGCGAGCTTATCCTTTTGTCGATTTGTATTGCGGAGGTATTGGGAATACCTCCGCAATACAAATCCCAAGATCACACCCAAGATCTATGCCGTTCCTCCAATACATAAAGCATGATGTATGAAACTAGAAGCTCTGATGCAAACCTTCCTTTAAACTCATTGGTGAAATGGCACAGACTTCAGGAAGCATGCTCCCGCTCAACATGTGAGGAGCTGTGTGGGTTACAAATAACTCAAATTAAGGTGAGCTGAATGGACTAACTGTTGTGTTTGTCGGATAGAATTAAAGCTTATGTGAAGTCTACATTTTTATTTGATATTGTCTGTACTGGAAGATTTCCTCCTCACCTCTCATTATTGTGGCCAAAACTTTAAACTTCCTGTCGTGTTCAGTCATGATTACATTGTGCCAAGCTGGACATATACAAGTTCTAACTCAAGTAAAAAAGAAATAAATACATTTTGGCCAGGGAAGCATTACAAGGTTTCAGATCTTTTAGGGCCAAATAAATGGTGACGAGCTCTACTACTACTACTACTGGCTCCATCACCACCAAAAACTTACCAAAACATTTGCTGAGGTTCGTTTGTTTATCAATGAAAACTTTGGCGGACACAACATTTCCAAATGGCATGAACATCTGCAGGATGTCTTGGTCACCAAACTCTTGGGGCAGGTGGTATATGAAGAGGTTTGCACCCTCTGGACCTAAATGAAGTCAGTAAAAAACGTTTATTAAAAATCCAACATCAAAAAAGCTAGTGAATGACGAAAGGCGATTCTAAAGAGCACCTTTTGTTCTACGCATCAACAAAACTCTTCCATTCCCATAACCCTGCTACAGTAGCTATATGCTTATAGGAGACGATTATTAAGGGAAGGTGGGTCTCAAGGAAACACAGTCACCTTGCATGTGCAGGGAAAAGTGACAGCGTCGCCTTAAAGGGGCCTTCCGATCTGCTTATATTTACCTTGCTTGTGCTCATTTGCAGCTACTTCTTTTATCTCAACCCACACTGAATTCACAGTGTTGGTGACCAGGGAGAGCAGAACATCTACCAATCAGCAGAGCGTCACTCCCTTGATCACAAGTCACTTTTCTCTGCAGGGGCAAGGTGACAGGGTCTCTTTAAAGAGAACTAGTCACAAGAAGGTTTATGATGGAATCCTTAACTGTTCAGACTTACTTCAAATAGTATCAAACACAAACTACTTTTCAATAATGAATCCACGTCAAACAGATACACATTCCCCAGCAAAAGTATTTCTTTATATTTTTGTCCAAGCTCTTTACAGCCATCATGTTTCTGAACAGTTGTCTCCAACTCTCTTAGCTCAGCATCCCTGAACTTCCTGTCCAGTACAAGAGCACAAGGGCAGCGCAGTCTCCAGGAGCCGTTCATCTACTAGCTTGGAGAAGGGAGCAGAGAGCAGACGGAGTGTCATGCCTTGCTGTGCCTCTGTGACTGTGGAGACACACACTGCTTACTAGCACACAAAAGGGTGGCTCCATAGGACCCTGAAAGGCAAATTAGTCACCCCAAAACAGGATATCAGGGGCCAGTGCTCAGGGGACCAGCTGATTCTGCAGGAAACTAAAAAAAACTTTTAAACATCAAGTTGCAGCATCCATTGTGAATAGTTTATTCAGCATTTCAAATAGCTTGAAAAAAACCTTTTGACTTTTATATAATTTATTTTACTGATAATTCCAAGCAGGATACTTTAGCTACCGTCAGTGATCATTTGGAAGCATTCAAGCAGCTGCCTTTCAACTGCCTGATCCCCGGCACAGCATGCTCAGTAGATGGGAAAGTGTTAGGTCAGGCTTCAGATGACCTCTGACTCCGATTACCTCAGCAATGACACTTCCCATATTTCCGTGAATCTGTGTTCGCTTTAAAGATCCTAGGCACTGGGCACGGCATGTAAAATGGGGACTTAAAAGGTGCCCTTCTGTATGTTTACATATGCATCTAAAGCCAAGACCTGCTCGGCTCTGCTTCTTCCTGACTTGTTTGGTAGATAAAGCAGCAAGCCTGCCATACTTTTTCTTGCATCACCACCGATGTGCAACAAGAATATGCAGATTTTGCATCCAGGCCACGGCTATGGGCAGAACACGGCCTGTGAAAGACACTGTGTTGCATGAGCTTTTTAACTATGTATCCGGTTCCACAGAAAATTACCTTTCCACCCCAGGACAAGCCACCTCTCTCTAAAGTCACTAGCAGGCCTCCCAACCACCAACACAATGCAGTGGGAACATGAAGAGGCAGAGCAACGCACTGAGTATTCTACATTCCTCAGGTTACAATACAAATAACATTCTCTCATTAAGGTTGACGGGTACACATTGAAGTAAGTACATTCAATAAAATTTGTTCATTAACCATTTTCACTACAGTATAGAACAAAGCAAATCTCAATGATGTAAGCAACAACAGCTTCAAATAGCCTTGAGGAGGTCACATTGCTATAGAACCAGTAAAGCATTAGCGCAATACATCCCTGCCTTTAAACCCATTGCTTTTCTAACACACTGCGCATTTCGGGAACTGAGGATTCCATTGCTTTTGGACCAATTAATATTTCAGTGCACACTTTCATTTACGTATGCGTGTTATTAATCCAGATTGGTCATGTTGCCATCAACTCCATCCTGTAAAGAAGAAATTACTGCACAGCGTAAGAGGAAATACCTGAATGATGTGCATCCAACATGGAACAAGTAAAAGTTTTATTTATTTCTGAACCCAGTTGGGAGAGGTTATGTTTTAATTGCTATATGATCCTGCTAGAGATTGAACCTTTCTATGTGTTCTAGTGACCATTATCGCCAAAACTCTTGAGTTTAAACTCTTTTTTTCAACCTATCTAAATATGTAACTTAATGTGAGGGAAAACCCAAACTTTTGAGGCATTACTGTGAAAAAGAGAAAGCTTCAAATGGGCACATGGTATCCATGGCATTGCTGCCCGTTATATTATGTGTGCGCCCAGGGGCGTAACTAGAAATCACAGGGCCCCATAGCAAAATTTTGTATGGGGCCCCGTGATTGCTAGTCATGCCACTTGCAGAGCCCCAGCGGAGAGTGACCCTACAGAGCCCACCATAGGCTCTCTATAGTGGGCTCTGCAGGGTCTGAGATCTCTTACCTGTCAGCGCCTCTGTGGTCGCCGGGCCCCGACTCCTGTTACGTCCCTGGGCCCCGCCTCCTCCATTCCGAACACCGCCCTCATCTGCCGCAGCGGCTGGCTGTCACTGACACCGCTCCGCAGCAGCTATGAGGGGAAATGCGCTGTGGCCGCTGCTAAGCTGAGTCTGTGACAGCCAGCACCCCCACATGCCATAGCGACCCAAGCGGCCCTGGCCGGGCCCCTGTGCCCCATAGCGGCCGCCTGGGTCGCTTTTTGCGATTGTTACGCCACTGTGTGTGCCCATGCTTCTCTGTCAGTTGCCTTCCAATTCCCCAATATTTCTCTTCCTCATTTTAATGCACCTGGAATGCATTTAGCTGATTTCAACTCAGGGTTCAATTGAGCTTTAAGGGTTACTTAATATTTTCTGGTGCTGTAAGTTACATATCTGGCTGTAATACAAAATATTTTGGGTCTGTTTACTTAACACGTCGGATCTCACTAACCTGTGCCAAAATAAATGCTGCCAAAAAGCACTGCCTGAAAAATGCAGAACCCAAAAACAACAATCGGCTTTGTAATGTTTGAAGGTAAACTGCCTCTGCGTGGGGAAACCTGCATTCACAAAGCAAACTGAGGAAAGTCATGCAGCTCTCCAAGTAGACTGCCACTTCTGCAAAACCTCTTCCAACTACAAGCCCATATATACAAACACACACGTGTGAAATATATATATATATATTTAGAGATTTATACATACAGTGGTCCCTCGGTTCACAAACTTAATTTGTTCCATCCACGATTCTGGTTGCGAATCGAATCAAACTGTGATCAGACCACGATCTTGACTAGAGGAAGCCACGACTATGTGTCAGAGCGGGGAAGATGGCTGCGGTTGTGTTAGTCATCCGATGCGGAGTTGGCGAATGGAAGCAAAAATTCTGCCGAACTTCCTGTTCGCAAACCGAATTGTTTGCGAATAGAAGCGGTCGTGAACCGAGGTACCACTGTACATACACATATATACAGCTCACAGTTTTTAGTCCATTGCACACTGCTCAAGACTACCAAAGTGTTCTAAAACTCACCTTCTTTCTGACTCCCTGCAGCGCTTATGCCTTGCTGTGACAATAGGCTCTGATTGTAGAGTGAAGGCAGTGCTGCTGCAGCATATTGCTGGATTCCAGAGTAAGCTTGACTTAGAGCTTCCATAGTGCTACCAGTGCCATTGGAGAGACCACTGCTGCCCAGCCCACCATTTAATGCCGCCATCCCTAGAGGAGAAAAAGTATACATTATCTTATGAAGAAGCTTGTTTTAAGAGGATTATGATTTAAGATCCACCAATTCCCCATGTACTCCTGATGGAGGTATTATAGAAGTGTTCTAACGCTCAACTTCAGGTAGATTATTAAATGGCAAACTAATGCAGCTCTATATTCATCAATACAAAATGTGTTTTTGCAAGCAATGCAAGTACTTGAAATTGAACTGGTGTTAGCCTCCTGCATCCCTGCACAGAGAGGAAGAATCACCACAAGGGGCCAATCAGTTCTACTGCAGTGCTCATGTGGTAACAAGAAGCAAGCTAAAAGAAGGAAAGAGCAGGGTGACAGATAACTGAATATGCTGCTTCTCTTTACTGTCCATTCGCAGGCTTGCAGAGGGACAAGACCTGTAATCGTTACTGTTGTCCACATTAACTTTTTCTCTCTTCCCCCAGCATTTTATTTACTGTCTATATATAGATTTTCAGCCAGGTAAAAGGTGCATGTCATATGAATATTTCATTACCGGCTGTAAGTGGCAAATATCAAACAGGACACATTTTTGGTCCTCAAAATAATGCTATAATAAAGCAAGACAGATCAGATTACACAATAAGCTGAAGCACCCAGAGGAGGGATGCCCCCTTTCTCTTGTATGAGAAAGGACCATCTTAACTGCCAGCTCGCATGCATGGAGTGCTGGGTTCTTTTATTTGTAAGTGTACGTAGTAATTGTTTTTAAACCCAATGTCATGGAAACTTCTAGCATGCAAATAATAATTAAAACTTAATAATAATATATCTCCCTCTATACATCTCTCATCTGCGCCTTCTAATCAGACAATAAAATGCTGATGCATTGGACTTATCCACGCTGCAAGACCCTGAGTGCCTCTATATCTTCTTTGGAGAGATATATATTTATATATGTAAAATAAAAGTGATACAAAAAACACTATGTTCTAATTTGACAGCAGCATAGCAGTAAGTTTTGACAAATGTGTAACACGTTTTATGCTTACAAACTTAACTTACCTGCTAAAGAACCAACATTTAGGCCAGCAGTTGCTCCTGCCAGAGTCTGTAAGGCTCCAAGAGAAGCCATGGGGTTCACTGATGAGCTGTTATTTGAACTGGGGGATGACCCTGAGTGGATGAGTTAGGGGAGGAGGATAAAAATAACAAAATAAAAAATGAGAAACATGTAAATAATAAAACTTAAACAACATCACAAACAACTCCATATTTGAGAATTTTCCAGTTCTCATATTTAATACTGCTTAGCATGAAGGAACACAGCGATTTTCTTAAAGAACTCTGCAGAACCACAGCAACATGGTGTTAACTTCCTAACAGAAAAGAATGTGGACATTAACCAGTTGACATCCGCGGTGTTAAACCCCCTTCCCATCCAGGCCATTTTTCAGTATTCAGCGCTGCGGTACTTTGACATTTATTCCGTCATGCAGCGCTGTACTGAAATGAATTTTATACCCTTTTTTGGGGACAGATAGAGCTTTCTTTTGGTGGTATTTATTCACCACTGGGGGTTTTATTTTTTTACTATATTAAGGAAAAATTATCGAAATTTAAAAAAAAAAACCAGTTTCCCCTATATTAAATGATAAAACATTTATTTGTGCCCGCTAGGGGGCGCGCGAGCAGAAAAAAATTGCCGTCTGGAGACGGCAACCCGCAGATGCTGCAGTGCCGTCCGTCCGTTTTTTTACTACGGGCGGACGGCAAGAGGTTAAAGGCAAACTCTGGACAAATAGCTGAATACGGGTGACTTGATCCAACCGATTGCTCAGTCAGTCAGTCGTGGTAGTACTTTACACCCCTTCCAAACTGAATAGCAAGGTAAGTGCCCTTGGCCCTTACAGGAAAAGAGTGCAAAAGGTTTCAAATCTATAATAGCAGCAGCACTTTAATATATATTTATTCATTTTAAATGAATACATAACCAGATTAAAGTGTGGTTTTTAATGTATAACTGGATTCCAGATGTAAAGCAACCCTACAGTTAGAGGGGGGAAATGGCACCCTACAAATAAGCAGCTTAAAAGAGAAGTAAAACCAAACCTTTTTTTGGCTTTCCATCTCTTTTGCATCACAGGAGTACATTTACTACTCCTGTGACCTGTCAGCATATAGTCAGTCAGCATATAGTGAGCTACTGCCTGCTATCTGCTTACAGAGTAGGGCCGCGATGAAGCCTCGTCTTCAAATAACTATCAAAGCTTAAAAAGATATAGAAGAATTAGTCAAAGTAACTTCTAATGGTCAACCAATGCAGTACCACTTAGCCGCTAACGCAAATTCAAATCTAATCTGTCGAGGTTTCTGATGCAAACGTCTCTAGATTTATGGAAAACCCAACCTTTTGAGTAGGTACTTTGAGGCCAAATTCAAACAGATGCAAAAAAAAAAAAAAACTTTTGTTGACCAATTTAATTTATCATGATCAAAAACATTTTGGATTCAAAATGAATAACCTGTAATCCTAATACCAGGTTGTCACTTGCTGATAGGGTGCGAGAGCATCTTAGGTGAACATTGCCATGTACTGAAGCACTCCAAAGAGCAAGCAAGGGGAGGTCCGGTAGGACAAAGTCTGTATAAATGAAGGTTCTAAAGTTACATTTTTCATATTTGCCATCATAGAGCACATCAGAGGTAGCTGAATCTCCATAGAATGTCTGAACTTTGAATTAGGAAGCCAATAGGAGCTTCCTGAGCAAACAAGCACTTTCTTTTTGTGCTATTTCTTATAAAAGTTTAACCCCATTAGGAAAACTAGAGGGGACCTATAAAAGATCATATGCCAACTTGGTTGGAACTAAAGGAAATAACACTTCCTGTTGCTCACAGCCGATATTCCAATTTTTCGTTTCTACCCAATGCAGGTTGGGAATTAAAGCCAAAATCAGCCCTAAGGACACAGACAACGCTTTTCCTACTTTTTTTCTCTCTTAATAACCCATTCCCAGTGTAACACTAAAACCCATAGCAGGTGAGGGCAGCAGTTCATTTTTATAGTAACAATCAAGGAAATCTTGTTAAACAAAACTTAAACATTCTTTAGACATTTAACAAATATAAACAAACAAATGTACATGTAACACATATTAGGTAGGTGTTATCCCAGTTTGGCTGCAAAAGTGCAAATACAGCTTAACTGCATGCACAGGAGCTGAGTGGACATTCTAAAGAAGACTGCCAACTGGTGGGCAAGAGTGTTTTAGGGCTGGCTCACACCATAAAACAGTACGCTCCAGAGAGGTCAGCCTCTGGAACACACTATATTGCATTCTGGCCGGCTTTCTGCGTTCAGGGGCGGGAGGAGGCGTGGCGGTGCATTGAAGTCAATCGCACCAAAGCCACGCCAGCAATGTGATCGCCCGCACCAGAACACGTGCCACATTAGTGCCTGCATTCCGGTCCAGTGCAATCTAAAAAAACAAAATTGTGCTTGCAGCATTTTTTCCAGATTGTCAGATTACCCGACCAGAGTAGCCAGTTTATTGGCTGTCGGCTCTGATCGCACTGAGATTTTCCAGCCGGCTCCTTCAATCAGCTGAGAGGAATGCCGACAGCTGAGCAGAGCAGACAGCCCCACACACTGTGCGAATTTCAGCCGATAGATTAAAAACCAGCTGAAATTCAACCAGTGTATGGGCACCTTTAAGCTTATCGGGACTCTGAGCATTGGTTTGGCACTCTTGTTGCATGTGAGGAAGTGTTTAATTGGTATCACCAGACTGAGCCATTAGTAGGCAGCACCAACACGGACAAGAACAAAGGCTCTATTCACTAGTGGCTTCTGACATTTAGGGTGCCACAAGGAACACAGGAAAAAAAAAAAAAAGGCTTAAAACCCTTAATGTTTAAAGGCTTTCACATTCCAGATGTAGATATTGCAAGCCAGGCATTGTCAGGAAATAAGAGTCATCACTTGACAACCACACATAAAAACTTCTGTTCTTTACAATTTGATGATCAGCTGTCTCAGTTGATTGTAAGAAAGGACAGATTTCTAGCTGTCTAATACTGCTCACAAAACTGTAGGGGAAAAAAAAGGAGGGATTGGGGGGGCTCTGGACCCCTGGATCATGTATGCCTGTCATGAGATGATTGCCAGCCATATCAATGGAGGAAAAAAACAAATAAAAACAAGCCTCGAAGGAAGAGAAATCTTCAGTTCTGCAGAAAACCTCTTTGGCATTTTAGAAAAGGGCTTTATACGGAATCAATCCAAATTTTTGGATATCATTTTCGTTTAATTAACAAAAGCATTCGTAGTTTAGTAGTGATGCGCCAATACCGTTTTGTCGGTATGGAGTACATATATTTTGCTTTCGGTACTCACCAGTACCGAGTCTAGTGCTTCCACTGGCATGGAGCCATGTTCCCCTACAGGACTGCCGGTCAGAGGAAATCCTTCCCTGACCGGAAGTTCTGGTATCGGGGAAGGTATAAGAGCATTTGGGCGAGTACGAGTACTCGCCCAAATACTCGGTTTCGGTGCGCCCCTATAATTTAGTATCAAACATGAATACTGTAATCGGAATGGCAGACTATATATATATATATATATATATCTTTCAATGTTGAAGGTTTTAGCACATTTACAAGGATCATGTTTAAGGCACTCTAGTCCATGCTTTTTTTCTTACTATGAAGCCACTAATGTATTGTAAATAAAAGGGGAACTATATGAACAGTGACACCAAGCTCTTCCACCACTTTTGTTTCTAGGTTTTGGGTAGAATGTAGAAGCGTCAGGACCAGATTTCCCCTCACTTCCTGTTGAGCCAGTAGGATTCTCGAAAAGTAACAGACAGCAAAAAAAAACAAAAAACCCCAATCAGGATTCTTGTTTTAGCCTAGGTTGACGAGTTTATCACTATTGGAGGGATATTTCCTGCAGAGTCAATAGGAAAGGAAGCAGAAATGTCCACAAGACTGGCAGACAGCAATAAAACCTAACAATGTATTAATGTATAACCAAAGGCACACTTCAGAGGAAAAAAAAGAAAACCGAAAACGTGGTAAGGAGATAGAATCACTGAACTGTCAGGTTATTATTGTAGTCTGTTTCCCAGTTAGGGAGATTCATTCTTTCTCTAAGTGTTCTGATCAATGGGAATGAAAGTTAGGGTAGAACCAAAGTTTGGTGTTGCCACCAGAACAGGAACAGAGAGGAAATCTTCCAATGGGGACAACTGACAAAAGGACAATGGTCTAAAGGGATGGGGGGAGGAGAGAGGGTTGGGGGGATTTCCCTTACATTGGAAAGATATCCTCTCACTTTCTGACGCCTCACGTGAAGTGAAAGGTAAACTTCTTGATGAGACTAAAAGAAAAAAAAAAAAATCCGACAGTGGTTTTATCCCGTTTCTATTTTAAATGAAGATATACTTAAATCATCCTTGACTCTACAAAGCAAAACAAATCTTAAATTAAAACACAAAAATACAGTGCATTCAGAAATTATTCACACCCCCTTCACTTTTTTCAATGTTATGTTGCAGCCCGATACTAGAGTTGTTTAAATTCTGTTTCCTCATTAATCTACACTCAGTACCCCAGAATGACAAAATGAATACAGAATTTTAGAAATATCCGAATTTATTGAAAAGAAAAAACTGAAATATCACATGTACTTAAATATTCAGACCCTTTACTCTGTACTTTGTTGAAGCACCTTTGGCAGCAATTACAGCCTCCAGCCTTTTTGGGTATGATGTGGCAAGCTTTGCACACCTGGATTGGGGTATTGTTTGCCATTCTTCTTTGCAAATTCTCTGGAGCTCAGTCAGGTTGGATGGGGATCCATTTTCAGGTCTCTCCAAAAATATTCAATAGGGTTCAAGTCAGGGCTCTGGCTGGGCCACTCTAGGACATTAAGAGTTGTCCCTAAGCCACTTCTGTGTTAGCTTGGCTGTGTGCTTAAGAACATTGTCATGTTGGAAGGTGAACCTTCGGCCCAGTCTGAGGTCTGGAGTGCTGTGGAACAGGTTATTATTGAAAATGTCTCTGTACTTTGCTCCATTCAGCTTTCCCTCAACCCTGACCAGTCTCCCGGTCCCTGCTGCTGAAAAACACTGCCACAGCACACCAACATGCTTCACTGTTGGGATGGTATTGGGCAGGTGATGAGCGGTGCCTGGTTTCCTCCAGACATAACGTTTAGAATTGAGGCCAAACATACATCTCAGCAACAATCAAGAGAAATGGGAGGCGCCTGAGCTAAATTTCAAGTGTTGTTGCAAATGATCTGAATACTTATGCCAATGTGATATTTCATTCTTTTATTTTAAATTCAGATGTTTCTAAAATTGTGTTTTCGCTTTGTTATTATGGGGTACTGAGTGTAGATTAATGGGGGGGATGGTATGTATAAAGTATACATATAGGTTTTGTATAGAAAAAGGGAGGGTTACAACCCCTGTCAGCTTTTTTGCCATCTGTGTCCCATAGGGGAGATTTCACTTTCTGTCTCATAGCCACAAACCGTGAGAGGAAATCCCTTCTAAGTGAGAGGAGTCCCTGGTAGTAAGCAGGGTCACCAGAGCTAGTGTCCCCATTAGAAGGTTTCCCATCTATTCCTATCCTAGGGACCACCCCAGTCTTCAGGACAGATAGAGAGGGAGAATGTCCCTAACGGGGGACAGACAGCACTAAAAGCCTGACAGGTGGTCTAATCCCTCTCCACCGTACCCAAAAATAATACAAATGTTTTGACTTCAGGTTGCCCTAAAGTGTATTTCCACTTTTTCAGTCAAATTTAAGAAAACCCCTCTATGTTCGTTATGTATTCTTGTTCACACAGCATACTTAAAAATAACTCAAACCCCCCCCAACAATTACATTTGAGATGTTTTGTTAAAATCAGACAAGATGGCCGATTCCAGGGTTTTCTGAGCCCTATTCACAGTGGTCTGTCCCAATGGAAATTTGAGGATTGAGTTTATCTGATAAGCTTCAATAACATTCAATGGCCTAGCCAGCTCAGACCCCTCACAGCCCTGCCTAAAATGTAAAAAGGCATATATATACTAGAAGACATTTTAACTCTTAAAACCAGTAACCTCAGTAAAAACCATTTAAACAGCAAGAAGCATTTTTTTATTTGTTTTTGGGCTTATGCTATGTGAATGGGAACATGCAACAAATATATAATAGGTGTTATCCCAATTCGTCTGCAAAAGTGGAAATACACTTTAAACCTTTTTCGTGGAAAGCAAGAATGCTGTACATCACTCCTGTTTCACATCATATTTACACATACACATAAATACATAAGCAGAGAGGACAGATTTTAAAAAAGAGCATCTCCAAATCTTCCTGGAGCTCAATCCTATCCCTTCTAGTCTCCCAACTGGCCTTCTGTTGTGATGGGCACTTCACTGACCAAGAGGGAGACCTGGATGCCAAGTCATCTACAATGAAACCTCTGCTTATGCATTCTGCCAGGTTTGAGAAAGGTCTAACATTAAAAGAGAACCATTTATGTCAGAGCTTATTTAACAATCTGAAAATTCAATTTGGAGCGGAAAATTCAATTGATGGATCTTTAAATTTCAGAAGTTACCTGATGTCTGACAGATGTTGCATTGTCAACTGTCTGACCTCACAACACCAACTGGAAAGAGTACATAACAATGTTGGATAAAGCCATGAAATCAAGAGAAATGCAAACTATTATTTGATCCTGTCATGTGCTGTCAAGAGTTGGGACACAGTGTGTGAGGTCATGCAGTTGACAGGGCAGCAACTGTGAGATACCAGGCGACCCCTGACATTAAACCGAAATGTCAGAATCAGACTAAAAAATATTAACCTTTTACAAGATCCCACAAACGAATGCAAGACCAAACATTCAGATTATTTCTGTTACAGTAGCCAAACATACAAAATAGATTAAACTTTTTTGCCCCACAAGAAAACTTTGGCTCTAAATTAGCAACGTTTAATGACTGTCCACTCAAACATAAGAGAACAAAAAAAAACCCGTGCAGCTCACCAGAATTGGCCAGGATGCTGAGAGGACTGCTGGAAGTAGTGAGTGCGGAGCCCGCACTGGCTGGGTTCTGTGCAACGCTGGCAGCTGCTGCTAAAGCTGCCAAGTTCTGTATCTGCATGGCACTGAGTCCTGAAACACGCAACACAGGCAAGAAAACGGCACATGCGCATTAGCCATTATGCTTATTCGGTTCACTTTGTTTTTTATTTTTTGGAAAGAAAAAGGAGACGGCACATATTGATTGTAAGGTGAAATGAAGAGGTGAAATCCTTAACATATAAAAGGAAAGGAAGAGGATAGTGGAAGAGTAATAGTAAAATAAAAAAGCACACACCTGATGTTGTCTCGGTGGAGTACTCACCTCCCATGGGATGGAGGCCACTCAGGGAGTTGAGGTTGCTGGACGTGGCTGATTGCTGGAGGAGCTGCAAATAAAGCTAGACATTACACCAAAACAAAACAAGAAGGAGAGTGAGGGCTCAGTCCGGTCTGGGGAGAAAGTCTACACACCACAGATATCCACAGGGTGTACAAGAACAGGATAAGTGTGAGTGGGAAGGGGGCGGGTTAAATTAGAAAGAAAACCAAAAACTGTAAAAATGAAAAGTAGTTACGTCACAGCATAAACGGGCTCTGGTGACTTTATTTTGATGCTTAACTTAACATTTGCAAATCAGCTGTTTGCAAAACCTATAAAAACACTCTCGAGCCTTGGTTTTCAACTGATGGGTCGTGACTCTGTGCTCAGTGGGTCACGGCACACTTTTCTAGGTGAGAGGCTTCTCAGCCTGCCCCTAGCGTAGCACTGTCAGTTTTCACCGAGCCGAGCAGCACCTCTATAGGGCACACATGAGAGCTCCATCAGCAATGCACATATGACCTGTTCACACCAGTACAGTGCATTAATCGCACAGTCTTGTTCTTATGTGGTAGGTGTGTTGCATTGCCATTCTTTTGAATGGCACCCCAAACGCATCTCCCACCCACAATTTGATTGGTCGCACCAGAAAACGCTGTACCACAATGACATGTGTTTCAGTGCAGTGCAACTTGGGTCACGACTTAATGACCAAGGACAAATATGTGGCTCCTGGGGTTGCACAGGTTGAGAACCACTGCTCTGGAGGCTTCTTAAAGTGATCTGTACTATTCCTCTTGCTATTCCATATAACGGTCTAGAAAGCAAGTGTGAAAACGTTGCTTCATTATTCTATTCCCCATTTGCTGGAACTTTTTTTGCTTTACCAGCTATATGCAGCTAATAGAAAGAACTGATTCCACCAATTAGCAAAGGAGGGGTGATGATGTAATTGTATTCAGGCAGACTGAACAAAGACAGAAAAGACTGTTAGCAAAGTGGATTCTTAGTTTTCACAGCTGCTATCTGGGAGTTGCGTCATGTGAAGAAGCAATATATTTAAAATAGCCTCCATGCACATAAACTGGTAAAAAGGACAGCAAAGGCTATAGCAGTGGTCTCTGTAAACGCATTCTTTTTCAGCGTAGCAGAGATCCGATTCAGAAAATCAACAGAAGACCTCAGAACAAGTCTGCATCAAAAAAGTCAACTGATCTCAGAGCCAGGACTGGACAAATCCCGGGAGCCAAGTAGTCAATACTCCTTAAAAAGTAGAGCTGGCACCTAATTTTCAGGTTTTCTATAGTTGTCAATGGAGCTGGCTCCTAAAAAATCCTGCTGGCTTCTGAATCCCATATTAATTTGTCCACGCGTTATACGCGATGCGAAACAGATGATTTGTGGGACTCTAAATAATGTAACTAAAGTCCATGGACCCATAGGCAAAGACATGTGATGGATCTGAGGAAGGGGATCCTGCGAGACCCCGAAATGTTGCATCAGTGTGATATGCTCCACCTACGTCATTAAATAGACTCATTTGAATTGCATTTGGAGTCCCTGTTTGTATCTAAATGATGTAAGTCTCCCAACTAGTCCATAGCTTCTCCACTCTGAATCTGGTTGCTGATATTCAGCAATAAAAGGTTTATTTTTCCTTCTGCACATTGGGGAATAAACTGAAAAGTCACATATTCTGTGGATAATAGCCTAGCCTTATCTTTGCCCCAGCTTTCACAAATCACCCCTTTGGGCTCATTCAATAAAACAGCACATCGAGAAAAGTTTTAAATGCAGTGTACTGCCCAACCAATCAAAAAAGCCCCTTGTACTGCAATAATTTAAGACAAGTGAGTTCTGATCGGTAGTTGTGGGTGAGTGAATTTTGCCCTTTGTACTGTTTAGAGAATAATACCACTTACGTCACATGGACACCTCTGCACAAATGAGCTGAACACAAAGAAACGGCAAACAGCCAAAATGGCTTAAAATTCAACACCGAAGCTACCAAATCACAAAGCTGAGCTGTGAAAATCAAATTTAGAGGCTGTGTACTCCTAACAGGGGCTTCAATATTCAGCTGGACGCCCATTTAACAGGTGTAGTGACCGATTGCTTCATTGGTGTTTGCAGTGATAGTCTATCCACTAATGAAAATCCATAAGTGTTTTGCTTTAGGGTGCCCATACACTGATTGTCGGCCGGTTCTTGAGGTACTGATTGAAGGAGCCGGCTGAAAAATCTTCGTCCGACCAGAGCTGCCAGCCAATGAGCTGCTGGCTCTGGTTGGGTATTCTACCAGGCTCTGGTTGGGTATTCTGGCAGGGGCCGGCGACCGCTGTCTGAATACAATGCAGGATTTATGATTGACACACTCGTAGTATTGGAGAAATCTGCTCCATTTTTTTTCCTTCAGCATGCGGGTCAAACGAAAAAAATAGAGCAGTGTATGGCCAGCCTAAGTTATGAAATGTGAGTGCAATCTAGAAATCCTATAGGGCATTAATGCTTTATTAGGGATAAGTGCATGTGTCAAATGAGGTGCCAAAATAGCTAATAAAATAAATAGCGATCGGTTCTAAGGAACGAGCCTTGATGGGCTGAGCTTTGACTTTGAGTCAAATTTTTCATAAGGGTTTGTGATTGCAGCGTGGTTCTGATAACTGGACAGCACCAGAAAGAGGGCATACTGCATGGGAAGAGCTGGAGCCTAGCCATATTCTTCTATTGCATTTGAATACACCTGTTGAGCATCATTAAGCAAGGGGGCTGCCTTGGAGCTGGTATGCAAGTTTTAAGTCAAACAGACCCAACCAGCTTAAGGGAACATTTTAAAACAGGACAGCAGTTGTGTGATGTTCACTGCATTAGGCATTGTGTACTCAGAAAAAGGTAACAGCCCCGGCATAGGCTTGAGCCAGGCTCACTTTAAAAGGGTTTTCCCTTAAGCTGGCCATACACCTATAGATTATCTGAAGATTTTCTATGGTCAGATGGAAGTGCAACAGATTCCTCCATCTACGCTAAACTGTGTGGATGGAGGAATCTCCCCCTGGGCCAAGCTTCAGTATCTTGCTAGTTGGCCCCCACTGGCTCTCAAAATACCTGAATAATCTGATTGGATGCAGGCATTGTTCAGGTGTTTTGAGAGCCAGCGGGGCCGACTAGCAAGATACTGAAGCTTGGCCCAGAGGGAGATTCCTCCATCCACACAGTTTAGCGTAGATGGAGGAATCTGTTGCACTTCCATCTGACCATAGAAAATCTTCAGATAATCTATAGGTGTATGGCCAGCTTAAGGGAAAACCCTTTTAAAGTGAGCCTGGCTCAAGCCTATGCCGGGGCTGTTACCTTTTTCTGAATAATTAAAAATTCCTTTCAGGCCTCTTCTTTGTGGCAAAGTTCTAAGTGTCCAGCTCAAATGTAGAAAGGAGTCCAAAGAAGTTGTCTCCCGAGTAAATGGCACCGCAAAGCCAAAATGAAACTCGAGCAATACTTACTGCTAAGTACTGTGGTGCCAGACTGTTCAGTCCTGCAAGGTTCCCCCACACAGAAGCTGCATTTATTTGCTGCATCTGTTGCTGGAGCTGTTGTGTCATTCGCTTCTGTTCTTTGTCTTTCTGTGTGTCTGCAAACTTTACGACAATTGGAGAGGAACAGCCCTACAAAAAAAAACACCACGGTCAGATCCAGACAACTGTTCACAGGAGCGCCACTTCAATAGTGGATAACCAGAGACCATTTAGAAAATGCTGAACAGTAGTTGTGTAGAACTCACCTCCATGGTTTGTGCTTGGTGCATGGATTTGATTGCAGTCTGTGCCATAGATCTAGTTGAAAATGTGATGAATGCACAACCTACAGGAATAAAAGAGGAAAACTACTAAAACACCTTTGTCCATAGATGGCCATGCATTAACACCGCAAGCAAACAAGTATTTTCATTCAGTAGTCCTACTTACCCCTGCTCAACCCATCAGGTCCCCGCAGAATTCTGCATTCCTCTATTTGCCCAAACTGGGAGAACAGAACCCGGATATCATTCTCATTGCACTTCTTGGACACCATTCCAATAAACAACTTTCGGTCTTCAACAGCTATAGGAAAAGCACCAGAAAGACAGTCAGGGAGCACACACAGGCTTGCTGTAAACAATTAGACAACAGTAACAGCCAGCATAGAGATACTCTGCTTTTAAGGATAAATCCAAGGGAGATAAAATGTGATTCAATTAGCTAAAAAGTAAACAGCCATCTGCACACCTAAGTTATGTAAATGAAAGTAGAGATGCACCGATATATCAGCCGAAAGTGCCATTTTCTGGTCAATATAGAGGTGCATCTTTTCTTTTTCTCTCCTCCCCACTGGGTGCTGCTTTGTGTCCCAGCGGGGAGGAGAGAAACTGTCACAGGTGGCTTTGGGAGGAGAGCGCTGTGAGCAGCCGCCGTCTCTCCTCTCCGCTCGCTCAGCCTCCTGTGACAGCTGTCAGGAAGGAGAGCGGTACAAACACCCAGTGATCCCCGAGTGTTTGTAGATAATTGAGGACATAGTATATTGACTATATCCTCAATTATTAAAGAATGGGAAGTGATCTACATCACTTCCTGTTCATTCACGATTGTGGTTATAGTAAACACACTATGTTCTCATGTTATGAATGAACAGGAACACTCAGTATAGAGTTCATTTATAGCAGGGGCTGCAGAAAAAGAGATTGATGACTGTGTCCTCAATCTCTTTTTCTATTTTAAAAATGAAATATCAGGGGTCTGTTTAGATCCCTAATATTTCCCCGAAGCCCCTAAAGCAGTCCCATAATAAAAAAAAAAATTTAAAAAAATTCAGGCCAAAAATGAAAATGTTTTTTATTATAACTTTTTCAATTTATTTTTATATTTCAGTTTTGAAATTTTCATTTCGGTGCACCTCTAAAAAACTGCAACATCCATTCTATGATTCCCCCCGTGTTCATTTGTGGTTTCCCAGCTGCGTCTGGGGTGTCATTAACTAGTAATAACACCACAAGCGTTTAGTGCGTGTTCCATGAGCTTACATCAAAGCATGTTTTTTTTCCAGTGTATAGCTCGTCTCCACAGATCGCGATGGTGCGAATGGTGGTTAGCTTGCTAATGCAAGTATGGGCAATAGTAAGGCTACACTCACAAAGCAAAAGCATGAGAGAAATAAGCCGACAATTCTAGAGGTCAAAACATTTCGTTTACTGCACTTGTGCCATTTTTAAAAACAGGTTATTTTCGCTCACATCTTCAAATCTGTACGGGGCGTCAAACAACAAGACAGCAGAAGTGACAACGGCAACAGACCATGAGTAATGAGCCTGTGGAGAATGCAGTGCATGCAATGTTCAGGAAGCAAGAGCAGCAAGCACAGGACACATTAGTCACCCTTAACCTGTGAAGAGCACAGCAAATGTCAGAAAACACCTGAGAAGACCTCAGAACGAAGTGACATACCATTATTCTTCTCGCTGTCAGCTGGCTTCATCTGGATTGGATGATGCATCTAAAGACACACATGGGGAAGGGAAATAAACAGGATGATGAGATCCTAAAATTGCACAGATAAAAACACTGAATAATTCCCACTAAGTGCTGAAATACTCACCCCAGGAAGAATCTTCATGTTATGCAAAGCATTTTGTGCTTCTAACGATGCTTTACGTGTGTAGAAAGTTATAAAACAACAACCTTAGGGGGTTGAAGAGAAAAACACGTTAGTGCCAGAGGAGACAGATGTTTGTAATAAATCCTGAGCATAGGAGCACCACTGGGAAGAGGATACACATCAGAACAACAAGATGTCAACAACGCCAACAAGGAGGAGTGTCACGATATGGGAGAGGTCTGAGTTTTTAAAGCCCTTTACAGAAAAGGAAAGCAGCCAGAGAACATTGGGGGGGAATTTAAAAGTATCCTGTAAGCGATTCAATCCCCGCAAAGTCCTGCATCCGCTCCTTTACACATCAGTATATTGTTGTTGTGTCGGCCACTGGAAGAAGAAAATCTCTAGCCATACCTTTTAAAGCCTTGGTTCTCAACTGGTGGGTCGCGACCCCCATGATCAGTGGGTCACCGCGTGCCTTCCACTTTTCTAGGCGAGAGGCTCCTCCGCCTCCCCCTAGCACAGCAATGTCAGTTCCCATGCCGAGCAGCCATTCAAAATATGCTGCCCGGTGCCGAGTGTCGACTTGAGGTGGGGTGGGCTGGGGGTATTGCCACGAGGGATCTCCACCCATACGTGCATTGCTTACAGCTCCCTCACGTGCTCTGTAGAGGTGTGTGGACCGGAGTGACGTCACATTCTGGCTCCCGGCACCTCTATGGGTGTGCATGGGAGCTGTACAAGCAATGCACATATGGATGGAGCTCCAGTGCTTTCTGGTGTGGGCGAGGTGCATTGCATTACCATTCATTTGAATTACATCCCAAACGCACGTCCCACCCACAGTTCGATCGCCTGCACCGAAACGTGTGGAACCACAATGATGTGAGTTCCATTGCAGTGTGACTTGGGTTGCGACTTAATCACCAAGGACAAAAGTGGGTCCTGAGGTTACACAGGTTGAGAACCACTGCTTTAAAGGGTGAAGAGGAACTAAACTCTAGAAGCTGTGCTCAAAAACAAAGAGGCAGAGAGCAAATGACTAGTCACCACTACTGTCTGTGACGTCACTATGCCTCCAAATCCAGTTTCATGAGATTTGGTGACACCATAGGCAGTATTTGTGACTAGTCATGTGCTCTCTGCCGGTGTTTTCACCTGAAAAATAGCATTTGCGGGTATGTGAGCGTGTCCAGCACAATGACTGCAGGCACAGGTGTGTGTAGACATGCTCACATACCCACAAATGCTATTCTTCAGGTGAAATTGAAAAGGGTAAATTTTGGTACGGCTCAACATTTAATATTTCTAGATGCTCCCTATTCTATATTTACTTTTTGAGTTTAGTTCCACTTTGAATAAAATTAGGCAAATGTTTGAGGCAGCTCAGCCCAAAGAGAGTGCAGTCTCAAAAGTTTGCATTTTTATTTACCAAATCAAACATTAAATACATGTAACTTATTTCTTCCTTTATTTCCTGTCAAGGGAAACTATATGAAGAGAATGTACCAAAAGAGTTTCCCACAGAACAGTATAACACCCAATGTTTCCATGCTGTTAAAGTACACCTGAGCACTAAAAGTTGTCATGCTGATCCAATAGCTTTAAAAGGCTTTCCAGGCAAAGACCTAGAACAAGTATGCGGATCAGGATTTCTGACTTTAGAATCTGCATTCTTAAGCTGGCCATACACCTATACATCATTATCTGCAGATTTTCTATGGTCACATGGAAAAAGTGCAACAGATTCCTCCGTCAACACTAAACTGTGTGGATGGAGGAATCTCCCTCTGGCCATACACTTTACAACCATCGCACGACTTTTGTCTTGCGATGGTTGTAAAGTAATTAAAAGCTTGTACGATCTGCCCATCTTGGACAGGCAAATCGTACTTGCGATCATCGCAAGCCCGCCCCGCTGAGGGGAGGGCTTCCGATGATACCAATGCCGCACGGGCAGTGTGCGCTTGCGCACACCGGCCCGTGCGGCATTCGTCTCTCGAGAACGCCACTAACCCGCCAATCGTACGATTCTCGGCGGGTTTTCAAGCCTGCTCGGGAGACAAAAGATGTGCGACCGTACATTAGAAACGGCCGCACGCCTTCCAAACACCTGCCGATTATCGTACAATCGCGGGATTTCCCGTGATTATCGTAGGATAATCGTCAGGTGTATGGGCACCTTTAGGCTAAACTGAGCTTGCTGCAAGCACTGTTCAGGTATTCTGACAGGAGCCGCTGTCAGAATAGAAAGAAAAAACAGTAAGTGCTGAGGAGAAATCTGTTGTACTTTTTGTTCAGCTCGCAGGTTGAACGAAGAAAATATAACCGCATATGGCCAGCTTTAGGAATGGACACTACTATCCCTCTGCTCTTGGGAACATGTAAAGTAGGCCATATAATTTCCAACAGAAGGGCCATGCATTGCCAAGACACGTATTAGACGTTCGCTTACCTTTACTCTGTGGAGGATTCTGGCTTCGATCTCTCAAAATGTTAATTTCATACACGGCACCATACTGTTCAAACAGCTCCCTCAGCTCTTTTTCTGACCAGCTGCGAGGAATCTGTCCCACAAACATCTTGATGGAGTCGGGATCCGGGTGGTCTGGATGGTCCATGGTGCCGTTCATCTTCTTGGATCTGCAACAGAAGACAGTTGGCTCCTTCAAATGTCAGATAACAAAAACTCCAAGTAAAAGGAGTGAAAAGGGAAATGTTCTTCATGAGCTAACAGTGCACAGAGAGTTAAACAAAAGCTCCACATTAAGAGTTAATCGGGTGTGTCATGTATGGGACAATTACAGCACAAACAGGAATGTGAGAAATCAGCAAGAAAACATCCGTCCCCGCTACAAGATCTAACATCTGAATGTGGTCGGAGCACCATACACTCATACCCATGACCCCAGAGACAGGTGGAGGTGAATTAGCTGCTTAAAACAAAACAAAAGTGAAGTCACTCATGACATCAGACGACAAAAGTGTTGAGAAGTCCACGAAAAGGCACACACAAAAAAAAAAAAAAATTTAAAGCAGCGATACCTCTTGAATCTAGAGGGAGACGACTCAAACATGACACTTACACAGGATTGGAATTCAGAGAGCAATGATCCACCATCATCTCAGGCAGGAAATCAAGTTTAAATGAAGCCATGGTCTGTCTAATTTGCCCCCCTGGAATAAACACAAGACAGAGCTCAACTCCGCCCAGACAAGCTCAGAGAACAGATGAAGACACTACACCGAGCAGCAGGACAGGGGAAACATAGCACAAGGCCCCAGAGAACAAGACACTACGAGGGAGAGACGACAAGCAGAGTCCTCAATGAACCCAGCATTGGACAAGACACACGGAATGGACTGGGAAGAGGCACAAGGGGTGCAATAAAAAGTTTGTGTTCACTCTGAAAAGGGGGATGTTACCATGTGAAGGGAGGCTCAGTAAGGGCACAATGAAAATGCTGATGCACGGCGCTTGTTTTGTATGTTTTTCCCTGGCGAAGCAGTACTGAGTGCAGCATCAGATAAACAGAATGTCAGATCAATACAGATAGGGCTGAGTGACAGAGTGGAATGTCACCGAAGACTTGGTCACACAACCCCGCCATCACCCCACCGGAGACTTGGTCACCCAACCCGCATCATAGGAAACCTGGTCACACAACTAATCTCTTAAATCAGCCGGTACCAGTGGGGAAGAGAGACACTGCGACTGCATTGGCCCAGTGGGAGATTCCTCCATCCACACAGCTTAGCGTAGATGGAGGAATCTGTTGCACTTTTTCCATCTGACCACAGAAAACCTGCAGATAATCTATAGGTGTATGGCCGGCTTTAAAAAGGAGAACTATGGGGTCAGTTTTTCCCCATAGTTCTCCTTAGGGTAACGGGAGGACACAAACTAGCGTCCTCCCGTTACCCTAAGCTCAGTATACTGCGAGCTACAGCTCGCGGTATACTGAGGCGCCGCAGCCGGAGCAGATCCCGACGTAGATGACGGGATCCGCCCAGCTGCGTGAGTGACAGCTGGCTCTGCCTATCTAGAGGCAGAGCCAGCTGTACCCGCCCCCTCCCCCGTCCGTTCCGCCAGTCAGCGCTGGCAGATCGGAGCGGGGAGAGGGGAATCCAGCCCCTCCCCCTGTCACGGCAGAGAGCCGTGACAGGATCGAGAGGTGAGCGAACCTGGTATGTGTTCGCTCACCTCCCGATCTACTGAGCCGACCTGTGACGGTCTCATTGTCACAGGTCGGCTAGAACTATGAGGTGAGTGGAAATCACTCATCTCATAGTTCTCCTTTAAAGGGGCTGGTGAGTAAGTGGGTCTGTACTGCATGTAAAGGCCCCAACCCCTCCAAAGACTGATATCTCAGTACTAGGCAGACATGGGCATTAGAATCATGAGCCAGCTTCTTAATGGAACTCATACATGTCAATGGCCAAGTCCTAAAACCATTACAACTCCTCTATAACTCCCACCTTACATGGCTGAATTCCACAGCTATTCAGCATTTAAAGTGACACTAAACTCAGGAGTTAAATCTAAAAAATGCATTAAAACTACCTTAACTATTAACAAAAATGTGTATCACTCGGCTGTAGATACTCCAATCATCTCTGAATTGGTGCCGACACTGTCCTTCCTTCTGGAGGGGGGCTGCTTTTGTTCCCCATAGTCCCTGTGTGTATTGTAAAGTAGTCACCACTCCAAGCTCACCCCTGTGATGACTACAATCTCACATTTAGTTTACTAATCCGTATTGAGATTGTAGTCCATCACAGGAGCGAGCTCGGAGCGGTGACTACTTTACAACACACACAGAGAGACCATGGGGAACAAAAGTAGCCCCCCTCCAGAAGCAAGGACAGTGTCAGCACCGATTCAGAGATGATTTGAGGATCTACAGCCCAGTGGTACACAAATAAGATACATTGGTAAATTTTAAAAGTTCAGTCAAGTACCTCAAGTAGAACTCCTGGAATTAACTCATTCAGTGTCACTTTAACTGAAGTATTCAGAAGTGTGAGACTATCACCTAGTAAAGACCGTGTTGGATGCAAGTTCTGATGGGAGTACAACTCACACCTGCACCGACCCTGCATTTTATTGCAACCACTGTGTTGCAATGTAAATGGGACACAGAAAACAACTGTCCATGCAAGCCTGTGGTGACCTGCATTGATCCGGCGCAGTACAACGCAGGACACTGCAGTATGTGTGAACAGTCCCTAAGTGTGTAGCGCTGCTACTGAAAATGAATGACACTACAATGCTCATGTATAATGTTATACCATGGTGCCAGCAACAACGGTTTCACCGAAAAAAAGAAAATGAAATCCAGACAAAAATAAAAATGTGTTATTTAGTAGATTGTCAGATTGTTATTGCCGTCTGTGACCCTGTTACAGATTTCCCTTCACTTCCTGTCTGGTGAAAATGTTCTCATCAGGACAAAATTATTGACCGCAAAACAGAGCCACGGATTGCAATCAAAATCCAACAGGGATCCTAATCCCTCCCCGTTCTATCCGGAATTAAGTGAACATTCTACATGCAAAAGGTTCTTTGCCCAGTTCATGTAACTTCTCTATGTTTACATACTTGAAAAGCTTCAAAACTCACAAAAAAACTAATCTTAGCGGTCTCTTATATTAAAAGTAGCAGCAGATTTGTGTTAAAGCTTCACCTTGTGTACAGGCAGCCTATGCGTGCTGAACCAAACTTATATAAAACTGTATATATTTTATATTTACAAGAGTTGTCTACGTTGTCCTAGCCCAGGGGTAGCCAAACTCCGGCCCTCAAGCTGTGGTGGAACTACAAATCCCATGAGGCATTGCAAGATCACAGACATGACTCCCGGAGAGAGATGCATCATGGGATTTGTAGTTCCACCACAGCTGGAGGGCCGGAGTTTGGCTAGCCCTGTCCTAGCCCATCAAGAAGCAATCAGAGTCATGTGCGGTCCTTTAAAGCGGACCTTTACCCATATCTTTAAAATAACAAAGACACCTTTAGAAATGTTTAGTAATGACAATCTACAAACACATACTTCTAAGATAATTGCCGGCTTTGTATGCTTTGCAGACCTTATTTCTCTTTTCTTCCCCAAGTCTTCCGACAGTGGCCATGTTTACTAAGGGCAGATTACTAGCTCTTTTACTTCCTGGATTTCTGGCACATGTGACTAGACATGTGACCATCCACATCATCTCAGGGGAAGAAAATGCCTTGCCCTGAGATCTCATGAGATTACAGATGAGATTTCCCAATCCCAGTGTGCATTGCTTTGGCAAATTGAAGTCATTTTGCCCTTTCAAAGCAGGAAGTGAATGCTCTGCAAGTGTGACATGTCTATGTTATTATTAATCATCATACATAGTGGCAGAATTTGATGTTTGAGTGTAAAGGTATCGAGAAGCAATCAGAGTCATGTGCTGTCCTTTAACTAGATGGTAATCCTCGCCAGAACAAGGGCTCATAGGGATGAATTTATGAGCTCTGATTTTGCAGCGCTGGGAAACAAGCTGGTACGATGGAAAGCAGAACTACAGTGAGGAAATCGCTGCTGAAAGCCGCAGATCATAAAGTGCAAACTGCTGCTGACTGGCTGTTACAGGTTTCTGAAAAACTGAGCCATTTCTGACCAAACAATTTCCACAGATCTATTTGCATTGATCACCGTTACTTGGCCTATAAACCAGTTGTACCAGATTGTCCGGGTGACAGTTATGTCCCGGAGGCAGAAAGCAGTCCTGGCTTGTTGCCACCACAAAGATCGTTACAACACCAGCACAACCCATGTATCAAATAAGCAAGGAGGAGCGGAGGGTAAAGATATTCAGAGTATCAATACAAAACAAATTTAATAACAAATACAAAAAACAAGTTTAGAAAATTATATACTTTGTAGCCATTTTACAAACATTTACCTCTGACAGTCTTGAAATATTTAAATGTGAGGAAAATCCTATGAGACTGCTGTTAAAGCAACAAGTCTCTCCAATGGAAGACTTCCTCTCTCAATTTTTGGGGGATTTTCCCACATGCTCAGTCCCAGTGACAATGATCACTAGGACAAAAAGAGAATCTCCCAACCACATAGAACACACAGACAGCAATCCACAAAAAAAAAAAAAAAACTTTGGGTTAACATGACACCAAACATTACCCTTTTTTTACGATGCGTGTTCGGAATAGCGGAGGGAAACTGCGCGAACCCCCCGGCACAACTGGGGTGCCATTAAAAAATAATGGCACCCACAGGGCAATATGTTCACATCTTGGCGACTCCTGACCACGTGGCAATCTGCGCAGCAATCATGCACGATTGCTGCGCAGTGAGGTGTCGCCTAGGTGTACACCGGTCCTTAAGGTTTAACTCCCGAGTTTAGTGTCACGTTAGGTTGACTTATATGCAGCCTAATGATGCAGAGTTTTTGGCCTATTTCAGCACGTATGACTATTCTAAAGGATACATCATTGCGATCTGTGACATTGTTGAGTGACACGCAAATAAGGTCCAGAATTGTTAATAGTTAAGGTACTTGAATTTTTAAGATTTATCTCCTGCGTTTAGGGTCACTTTAAATAATAAACATGCATTCCTGATATTGTATCAACTATATGCTGAAATGTTATCTTTATTGTTCAACAACAACTCCTTAATTTCCATCTAGAATTTGATTCCAGGTCTGGCCTGCAGATCCATTTTCATGTTTATACTTATAAAAGTGGAACTGCATGTTACCATGACTAAAAGCTGCCACATAACTCAGTCAAATTACAAAAGTGATTACAAAAGCAGTGATGTCAGTACACAATGACACCAATGAATTACTAAGGGGTAACAAGTATTTTTCATACTTCTTGTGGCGGCCGGGTCAGTATTGTATGTGGAACTTTAATGGTGTACTTTACTCAAAATTAAAAATGAAGACTGTGCTTGGATCCACTTGCTGAGCTGCTTTGCAATCTGGCACATCCACTGGGTGATGCAGTACAATAGATATCCCGAGTACATATACTGAGTTGGAGACGTGGACAGCTATTATCCTCTATAGTACCTCTCAGAGGATGTGCTGGATTGCAGAGCTGCATTGGAAGCATCTGAACTCTGAAGCAATGTGGCAGCCCCAGGCAGTGTATATTACAGATAATTATATTTAAATGGCTG